GACGACGACGACGACTGGAAACGAATAGGATTGAAGACCGGAAGCACTTCAGTTAATCGCTTCAGTTGAACGCACATAATGCAATTTGAATCGGGTGAAATCGAACTAGAATCACTAAAACCCAAATTTCTTAGCGCAGAATTTACTTAGCTTACTAGATATAAAATTCCGATACATATACACATGCAGAGAAATTAAGAACAGTACTTACACTTCAACTGCTGCTATCAACGTGAACTGAACACCTATCAGAAACGTTCAAAAAAATCATTTGGAACTTATTATTAGCGATATTAAACGATCTACAAGAGTAAGATTAGACCTGTCACCGAAAATTCATCTCAGAATTCGATATAATAGTACCAAATCCTGCATTTCTTTCACAGCTATAACCACTGATGTCTGAAGAATTGGTGAAGAAGAGCTAGTGGTGATAGCACCAGAATGTCTAAAGTTATCGGCTTGCACTCGATATCACTGGATTTTTGACTGTCAAAAAGCGTTGAGATTGACCGAAAAATGCAAAGGTGAAATAAAGATTTTTTAAGCAATTCATGTTGAATATCTTGCAATGTTACTGCTAATACAGCAAAAAATGTCATTCGTCGTTTATCATTTTCATCAAATGAAATGAGGATGCCTTCACGGTAATCACATTATTCCACCACGTCTCATGTAGCTGAATGAATGTTGTGTATGATGTTGGATCGGATTATCCTGGAACTTCTTCAGTTCCGTGTTGATCGACCAACGACCAACTTGCCGTCAAATACCGATAGCCAATTGCAACTTCAAATCGACGATTGCTTCATCACTCGCGACGACGTCCACGACTTTTGTGTCATTTTCAGAATCTTGCTGCTCGATTTGTTGCGAATCCGGCAACACGACAGATGATTGTTTCCTGAAATTTTATTTTTGCAATAAAATTGAATGCAGTCACGCTCTGATGATTTATTCATCGTCAGTAATGTTTCTATTGCATTTTTTCATGGTTCACATCCGCATTTGAGGCATGGTGGCCCTTAATTTCTCGAACGAGCTTCCTTCATTTCTCGAAAAATTCAATTCCTAAGATTGTTTTTCTTCAGACAGTTGTTTTTACCTTTTCTCCTCAGAAGCGTTGACGGCATCTGAAAGGTGTGTAAAGAGTTGTGCACGATCAACCACTTTGTAGAAATCAGTCTGCTCGAACATTTTCCTCAGATCTTCTGAAAATGCCACTAATCGCAATCGGTTCAACTGCTGAACCATGACAATACAATAATGATCGACATGATCGTTTTGCTTTTGCGTATGTTCAGTAACAGCTGGCTATTTCTTAAAATGTGGAATTGCACGATTGAAACGACGTCAATAAGTGGAGATATATGGCTAAACAGCATGGATTTGGGAGAAAACCTAGCAAATCATTCATGACCATTGAACTGATATGAAAGTTTACATGAGACGAATACAAACGGTAGATGGCGATTCAAAGAAGAGAAATTTTGTCGGAAAGGGAAAATAAGAGTAAATTCATGAGCACTTTGCAAACCTCGTGCTTCAGCCAAATAAACGTCAATGCCGTCCCTGCTCAACTCCGTGTACATCTGCAATTAATGTCACCGTTCAACTTGAGAAAGATTTGCACTGGAATCGAAGTTTTTGCAGAATGAATCAACCAGTCGGATATTACTTGGATTGTAGCAAGTGAGTCGTTATCCTGCTAGAATATAATATTAGAACTATGCAAAAATTTCCGAATTTCCGAACGACTCGAAAATACCCTGCTTCTTCACATTGCTATCGTCAGACATTCTTCAAAACTGAACCGCTTCTGTAGTTTGCGAACAATATGGTGCTATGCATAATATTCCTGATGAGCAAACCTTTTTAATGGTGTCCAGTCCAAGATAATCGACATATGGAAATCCGGAGCAATCAATGACCAATGAGAACTCGTATTTTAATGGCTTTCGCTGAGCAAGATCGACATTAGATGTAGAACTTCGCTTATTGTTAGATTCGTTGGAATCTCCTGGTTCAAGTTGCTCTTCATCTGTGATCTCATGTTCCGTCCCATACTCCTGTGAAAAACCACTAATGCTCATGTGCTAAATGAATTTCAATTGATAACTGTCTTTACTATTAATGTATGATGATGAATGAACAATCAAAAATCCATGAAATTGTTCATCCAGCGAATTCGTCAACGAACTCATCTGTTATTTTAGGGGTTACCTCATTGATGCTATAGGGTTTAGCTCATTGAAACCTACTGTACTCTCAGCTTTGACCAGTAACCTATCAATTTCTTCACACCAGTGGATTGAACAGAATCTCTGCATTCATTGTCAGAAAAATATATATTTTGTTGGGCGATTTTGCATAGTTGAGACGGGAAAAATATATATTTTGTCGGGCGATTTCGCTTAGTTGAGGAGCTATCTATTCAGAATATTATATATTTTGTCGGGCGATTTCGCATAGTTGAGGAGATATGGTAAATATATATTTTGTCGGGCGATTTCACTTACCTGAGAAGCTATAGCTGTTAGGTATAGTTTGTCGGGCGATTTCGCTTAGTTGAGGAGCTATAGCTATTTGGTTCAAGGTATGTGAAACTAGCGCTGAGGTGCTCATTGATATGCATTTGATCACTATAGATCAATAGACATTATACATTATTATAGAAATATGGGATTGATACATTCAAGCCTACCGTCTTCTCAAGTTTGCCCAGTAACATAGCAATTTTTGTACATCATTCGATCGAGCAGAATTTTGGCTTTCTAAAAATGAAAAACTTGCCGGAAAATTCTGCCTCTGCGAGGTGATATAGCTATTTTTCTGATGCTATAGGGTTTAGCTCATTGAAACCTACTGTACTCTCAGCTTTGACCAGTAACCTATCAACTTCTTCACACCAGTGGATCGAGCAGATTCTCTGCATTCAGAAAGATATATATTTTGTCGGGCGATTTTGCATAGTTGAGAAGCTATAGCTATTTTATTAAAGCTATCTCAACTAGCGATATGCATTTCATCTCTATAGATCAATAGACATGATACATTATTATAGAAATATAGGCTTGGTTCCATTCTCAGAACACATTATTATTGGTTACGATTGAAATTTTCGAGTGAGCGAATATATTAGGTAAATCATCTCCAAAAACTCACAACTCACTATTATCATCATGTTTCTCGAGTCCATTTGTGAATTAAAGAATCGAAATTCAGAACGGGTGTCTCCTCGTTATTGCTACAAGCAACAATGATCATATTTCCCTAAATCCCAATTCCATCACATTCATTTCTATTTCCTCGTTCATAATTTTGGGGTATTGAAATCAACTTATTAACTTTGACAGCAGTATATTATATCATAGTAATTCTTTGTGTAAAGAGTGGAAATCGGTGTGGTTTCGGTCATTACCTGCGCACACTGACGATTCATTTCTTCAATGGTGACGAAACTTCTTTGCGAGTGCTTTTGTCGCCATTTTTTTACGCACTCTCGCAGGGTCTGCAATTTGACAGCATTATTGGTGATATCGGTGACTTTCTCAAGATTGATTATTTTTACTGCTTGAATTATAAGCAGCCAGAAATGTCGTTGTCTCGTTGAGGTTCTTGAAGTTGTTTCATTGACTCTCTTCCCCTCCTAGACAATCCATCAAGAAAGGAATCATTAAAATGATCGATAAGAACAAATCACCACTACGAATCGATCAACACTCGTAAAGATCAGCGGTCCATCCAGCCTGAAGATGCAAGTGTCCCCTTCGATGAACTCAAGTTGCCTCTTCTTTGTTTCACGAAAATCGCCATCGTCATTCTTCGATAGCACATGCCAGCGAAGCCTTGAAATATTGTCACAGTAACAGTTAGATGATTGGTGAATGTGATATCTCTCAACGAATTTACATTATACATCTTTGTATGATTCTAAAGTTATGATACATCATCTATTTCTAACTACGAGTTCCGTCAAAAAAAGGTCTCATCTTGCTATTCATCTTTGCTTCCCAATCGATCTCAATCCAGATAGATTCACGGATCATGTTCCAGTCAATCCGGCCATGTCCATGCTCAAAGCCGTTATCATGCTCCGATTCAAGACTGAATCGACGATGGAAATGAAAACGAGAATTCGTTATCATTGACCAAATACCAACCACTGATTCCGGAAAATAGTCGTTAAGAGGGCGAATGCAATAGCTAATGCGAGGCCTTCAGCCATATCGTAACAAATTGTTAGCAGCATACTCATGATCCAAATCAGCTGTAATCGTTCAATCAATGAGGTGAACCGTAACAACAGTGTAAAGATTACAATGACTGCAGTACTAAATGTAAGTGGGTATAGACGATATCCGAAAAAATATTAAAGTTTTAAGAAATCTCACAAACACGCACACAATCGATTTTAAAAACTGGCCAAAGTTTCCGAAGTTCAGTGAATTTCAGTATATACGACTTCATTGTNACAATGACTGCAGTACTAAATGTAAGTGGGTATAGACGATACCCGAAAAATATAAGTTTTAGAAATCTCACAAACACGTACACAATCGATTTTAAAAACTGGCCAAAGTTTTCGAAGTTCAGTGAATTTCAGTATATACGACTTCATTGTAACCATGATCATTGAGGCGAGAACACACTGAAAATTTACTTATTGTCAGTAGAAGTCTTAAACAAATTTCATCAGATTTATTTTGAACAATAATTCAAAGGACATTTGATCACTGAATAGCCTTGTGCGAATTGAATTTTTTGATATAACCATTTTGGATTGTTGAAGGCAAACCTTTGGAAGATATTCGAGAGCTGGTCCAATGTATAGAATAACAGAAACCAGGGCAAGCGCAGAGAACAGTGAAGTGAGCTGAAAATTCGCATATGTGTATGTTTAGCTGAGTGTGAGGCAGAATCATTCACAACTGATGGAATTGATGCAGTAAGGATGGATGGAATTCTGTCTTTACCTGGGTGCATCCACCAACTGCTTTACCGATTACAGTTCGGACAAAGCCAGATGTGACCGGAAAAACCGGAAATAGAGAAGACAATAAGCCAACAAAGCCAAGCGCATAAAATTCCTGTAATCATTCTTTTTCATCTACAAAGTACAGATTTTGTGAGTTGAGTAGCTGACTAAACGTATTCCATTGAAATCAAAGCTATTGTTTGATAGCTTCCGTTTTTTGGTGTTAGTTTCTAGGGCACTCAATCTAGGTAATTTCGGTATTAACGTTAAAGCATATGTGTTTTTAGAAAGCATCAAGCGATGTCAAGGAATAGGTTTTCTGAAGATCTGATAGGCAGACTGAAATCAAACTCTTGACGATCACTGAATTGATGGCAAATTGAAAAAAGCAAGAGATAACACGAATATGCTCATTTCTGTTTGATATTTTACTGCGATAAACCATAACAAACTCCACCAAAAATTACTGAATAGACATCGTTACCTGTCCACATTTTATGTTGTATTCATAGCGTTTCTCAACAATTTTTGCCACAGTCACATGAATGGCCACTGCGATTGCAGCGATACTGAGCGCATCAATACAAACTGATGGGAGCAGATCGAAACGAGGCAACGATGGAGGTGGAAATCGGGTCGGTATATTGCCGACTACGATAATCTGATGGCGATCGGCAAGTTCTGCGAAATTTGTAGCTGTTATGGCAACGATTGCCTGAAAGTTTTGGGAACCTTTCGCTTCTCATAAATCTAAAGCTACTCAGTTGCATTCGATCCTCACTCTGATCATGATTTCTGATCATAAGTTATGAGTCGAGCAAATATTTCGGCAAATAAATGAGGAAATTTTGTTTTATTAATAATTTTTCAGTCTTATTCAAATGATTTGCAAGAAACTACTTAAACCGTTGGATTGATAGAGTATGAATCTTCAAGAACACTCACAAGTATAAGGTCGTACGGGATCGGGAAAAGGAAGATTTGCGATAGCCATGGTTGAAGAATCTCTTTGCCAAAGAGTAAGAAGGTGATTGACATTGCGCTCATCGTAACAGTTGCTGGTTTCGTCTCATTCAGATGTGTGAACAAGTCTTGTACTCTCTAACGTTTCTCTACTTAATATTTCCAGTAAGTTGGGATTATTTTTGAAAATTCTAATCGTGCTTGGTTTCATAGACCACGATCATTATTGTGTTCCATTTACCATGTTATTCATTGAGTAATTTAGGAATGAGTTAGCCGAATGTTTTGGCCAAAATGTTTTGATTCATGTAGCAACTTATGCACTGTATGCACTGTAACTTGATTAGGTTAATTAACGATCAGTGAAGATACTCCATCTGAAGAAATACGACATCGAATCTGAATTGGGAAAGGAACGAACATAATAAAGATAGCCGGGTCCAGCTCGTTTCTCCAGCTGAATTCCCAAAATATCGCCGATTTGCGCAAAAAACACATGCACACAGCCACCAACCACAAAACCTGACATGACCTGTTGAGAGAAGTAACATGTAAGGTGCTCGAATCTCAATATACCCATCAAAATCTGCAACTCCACATTAAAAGAATACCGTTTGATGATGTTGTTGATCAGGATATCCCAGTAATACAAGGGAAACAAGACAGGATGGTAGATAAATGCTATCTTGTTCAACTTCCGTTTCCCTAGTTCAAAATATCTGCTCAGATGAGGAACATTCAAAGTAAATGAATGCTAACTGATTATAGTAGACGCTCACAAAGATTCATGCTTTGGCTTATTCTTCATATGATATGAATCACCATAAATTTTAGTTCATCATTCCTATAAGTCATTTTCAAACAATACATGCAACTTGAATTGAATTGCAAAAGACTATTCATTGTGAGGAACGTTGTAAAATCATCATGTTTCAGAGCAACACAATAACAGTCGATCAAATAGCAATACATAAAAATATGTGATCAAGAGAGTGCCAAGTGGATTATCTGAAAAGTTCATGAGATTCACCTGAATGCAAGCACTCAGAAAGACCAATGTTGCTGCAACTTCTATTGGCTTTACGGAATCTTGAGACGCTTCCCAAACGTTAGCGTTGATTTCATCGTTTGTGAATTCAAAATCTGTTTCATTCATGCCATCGGGCTCAAATGGCATGGCAAAATGATTTGGATTAGTTGTGTTGAAGATATCCGTTGTGCTGTTATCCCATGTATTCATGGAAGCTTGCATAAGCATGACCTTCTCGATTGCTGCTCGGGTCATCAGTGATAGTACAACGAAACCACCTGAAATTGGCGTTGATATGATAATCACATGAAGCGATAAATATGGTGGCTGTGAGCATTGGACACTGAGAATATCAGCAACTGGAGTATCAGCATTGTGCTAGAAGACGATTGATGTCAAGGGGTTTTTCTCCAAAACTTCTTCAAATATTGTTGAAACCATAATGAGGGATTTCGAACGCCGTTATAAAATAATTTTATAAGCTATGTTTCACAGCGATAACATTCTCGTGCATTCCGTTCAGAATTCATTTATACATCAGTCATCACTGAGAAGAGATTAAGAACTTGGGCAATTTTCATAAGCTTCTTGATTTTTCAAATGGTTTAAACAGGGCGGCGCTCACCCAACGAATTATGCTTCGATGTTCCAAAAAATATGTATATGAAAGAGGGAAAGATAGCCGTGTAAAGACCGTACACTGGATCAACACCTGTGATCGATGCTTGTGCAATACCTGAAAAAAAGTTGATATTTGTAAATACTTTCGAGAGGTTTTGATTCATCGAGATATTGTGTACTGATTTCCCTCTTCCAACACGTGTATATCATCTACTCTTCTATCTAGACTCGACTAAAGAGTTTCCATAGAATTTAGCACATAATCAGACATCTCGCTCCAAGAACCGATTGTTGAGCTGCGATCACCGTAATTTCAAGCAATTCACCTCTAGGTACAGCGAAAACAGCCATAGTTAGACCTCCACTGAGATCACCGAAAAACGATCGCTTCCATTCATACTGAGGTAGCCAGTTGATGATTGGTAGGAATCGACGAATCGTCCTCCATAGATGCCGAAATGTCAGCTTATTACGAACACCTCGAGCAATCTTCTCGAGGCGTTCCTTCCTTGGCGTATGGAACTTAGTATCGGCAGAGTCCATTTGAAATATTCTCGTTTTGCCACGCGCTCTCTGATCAAATAACGACTCAAGTTCCAGTCAAACTGAGTTTCAACTATGAAAAAAAAAACGCGTGAAGGCATTCACTATGAAATCATACAAGGAGATAGATAAACTTCTACGTTATAACCCATGGATCAAATCGCTGAATGTGGCCTACGGAGAGATGTCAATGGATATATTGGTGTAATGAGATTACAAGATTACAAAATGCATATATTAGTCTAATGCAGTGGTTCTCATAGTGGGTAAAATTACCCGTTTTGGGTAATTTGGAGGTGTCAACGGGTAATGGAGGGGATCGGGAAATAAGTATTTCGAGCAGTTGTTATTTTATCATAGAACACCACTGGGATGATGTTTCTTAACCGGGATATGTAAATGCGGTTAGCTGATGGCAACAACTTTCATTCTCCTACGAGATAACACGGTTTTCATTCGTTTCAGCAAGGTTTTCATTCTTTTTCTTGCTGTTATAATCGCTCTCATAGCTTTTATCACCGAAAGTGTTCTGTTTTGCTAATTTCTCATTCATTTCATTCCACAATTAAAATCAAATTCTCATTCTATCAAATGTACTCTATATTTGAACATTTGACTGTCGAACGTTATCGAGCAATTCAATTCGATTGTTGTATTGTTGATTTCGGCTGTCAACACTCGTCAACACATCCCGTAAATAGTACATGCTAAAGAATGAGAAGTTGATTCGAATTGTGAAGTGAAATGAGAAAAATTGAATGAGAAAAGTCATGAAGAGAACGGTATTCGCATGTGATAGCTATGAGAGCGAATACAACACGTCTGAAAAGAATGAGAATCTATCTAAATCAGTTTGAAGTGAGCATAAACAACAGTGTTTCATGCAATCATAATCGATTGCAATGCTGAGCAACTCAACGGTCTAACAATAAGAGGAAGTCCAGCGATGTTGATTACCATCATGGACTCGCTAATAAGATCGAACGTAGTGGTCATCTGAACTTAACATGTGCGATTTCCATATTTAATATGGGAAGGGGGTGAGGGCGGCCTGCCATACCATCAAAATGGATAATGGAGCACCCGAACGTGAGAACCACTGATCTAATGAGAGATCTAAGTGCGACTGTCCGAAATTGTAATAGCTCGAATATCGATAAATAGTTTTTGAACTGGGATTTGACATTCCTTCAAAAACTGATATAAAACCGCCTATAGTCAGTTGGTGATTAGAATCTTTCAAGCACATAAAGAATCAGTTGCTTCAAGTAGAGAATCGCCTAAGAATTAGTTGCCTCTGATCATAAACATAAATTCGGATGACCAATAACATTACTTCAACAGAATGATGTATCAACAAATAGTTTAAGTACCATTAGCCATTTCATAACATGCCACTGCCCACAGTAACACTGTTGATGTTTCGTGTTATTCAGATGTTCACAATTTATAAAATCACCCATTCACTCGTATTAATCTCATATCTAAACCGAGATGACTAAACAACTAACTGGTCATTCCTGTCCGATACATTAATCACCAAAAAATTCGACTGTCTCGCCATCCCAATGATAATCTTTTTCGCAAATAGTAACCCCTCAGAATCACTGGCGCTCTACTGCGATGTATCAAAGCGATTTACTACTTTTCTTGTGTCGTATCGCGTTGGAAGAGCTTCTTTAGGAGCGATGACAACGTGATGATGAAAATCACTGAATCAAACTGATTTTGTGGCATTACTGAGATCGTCATTGACTGATGAGCCATCTCCGAGCATGTTCTTTCAAAATATAACACTTTTGTATTTGTTGTGGTTTCATTTTATTAACACCTTCGGTTTTAAAATAACTCATCACCAACAATATAAGATGAACGAATACAAAGCGAATTAAGAGACAAATTTTCTCAAGATCTACCATTAATATTACTTAGTTATCACTGTCATAAGGTAATAGCATTGGTAACGTGATAAAATTAATGACAGATGGTGATATTATCATTATTAAGTTAAAATATTACGACGTAACAATAACAACTGTAGATTGCATATAACCAGTGCTATTAAATTCATGTCATTCATGATGTTATGATAACAACTTTTATAATTATTACAATTATTCATATAAAGTATTAGGATTTATTGTGACATCGACTGATCATTATTTTGATAAGATTTTTATTGTTATAAACGATTATCCACTGCATAAAATAGGGATGTAGGTGCTGAGAGCGATTGCATAATGAGAATCTCGAGTAGCGCCGAACTTAAACACCGCGTTTCTTCTTATTATCCTTCGGCTTCTTTGCAAACAGTCGGTTGATTTCAATTCGAACCTCAGGACTCAACGATTCGTAGATTTTCGCCTTTTCCTTCTTCAATTCCTCCAGTTTGTCGTACGCTTCTTTAGCTGCAGGCGATAGTTTGGAAACCTGAAGATTATAGTCAGAAAGATTATATTCCAGACTGGAAATACCCTTTTTTTTGCAATTTATCCTACTGGAAGATGGATACGCAAACAGCAGATCAATACGTGGATAGGCGAAGAACATTTAAATAGACGATTGAATTAGGGAGTATTTTAAGGAGTACATGAATCAAATATAAACGAATCAACAAACAAACGATAAAACCTTCGCTGCAAATTCCTCCTTGGCACGTTCACGTTCCGCATCGATTCGTTTGAATTCAGCCAGTTGCTTTTTGTTCAACAATTTTTCGGCCAATTGTCTGAAAATCCTCTCTTTAGTATTTTCCATTTTGGGATTTCATTCAATTTGAACAAAATGTGGAATCAACTGAGTCTTTTTGATTGTAACCAGTGGAAAGGAATTATAAGAAAATAGCAGGATGTAAACGTGATATTAACAAGATATTTGGAAGAAGATATTAACATGATATTAACATCGTTATGATATTAGCATATTGTGGAATATAAACATAACTGATATTATCAAAGATATTCCAGAGTGAATCGTTAAATTGGATGTTCTCTTACGTAATAGAGTACCTGGTACAGCATTTGATATTTTAGACATTCAAGTTTATCCCATTAATGATATTAGACTCGAAAAAGAATCTCGTCTGGAGAAAACTTTTAAATATCGTTGCTCAATAAAAGCATCGTTGTTCGACTAAATGGCAATCAGAGGCAATAGACATAATCAGTTGTGTTAGAACAAATAAAATGGAACCAAATCGGAGCAAGGCAAAATTTTGAAATGTTACCGAACTGCCGATAGCTTTTCCTCATGATTCAACGAGCTATTTTTCCAAACCTCCTTGAACTGTCTTCTCACATCATCCGAAGCACCTCGCAAGAACGATGGACCATGATGAAAAATTCTATCACGAGTTTCTGATGGTAAACGATCCAACTGAAAAAATATTCTCTTCGCAAAAAAAATTTTCATCAAAAAATCTGAAAATTTTCACAAAATTCCATCAGAATTTCATATGTTGACTATTGAATGACTATCAAGCACCGTATCCGTATAATCATTATTCAATCACAATCAATTAGTCCAGATATCACCCACATCACAAATGCAGATGGAAGATTGATGACCGATTGCCCACTTCAATAAATCGCACTTTATTGCAGATTATAAGTGACAAACGCAAACGCAATGTAATGAACGCAATCATTCAATTAACTTATAATTTAGACTGAAATTTTCCCCATTGGGGAAACGCAACGCATACTTCTTGCTTTACTAAGCAAATTGCTGAGTAAAATTTTTAATATTCTGAATCTAGAGGTTCTACAGGGTCGAACGGTGAAAAGAAATTCGCATGTTTCCGGGCAAACCTGAGAAGACGGTTAGCTCGAAGATCGCAATCCGCCTATTGCTAATACGAACGTATTTATTGCTCTATAGTGATCAATTTGTATGAATGAGCGCAACTGCGCTATTGAATTGAGACATTTATGGACTTGTCAAGTGACATTATAAACAGAATTAATGGTTTGGCAAAAGAAAGACACCATTGTGGTATCATTCAATCCGATGAATTTCCAAATGAGGTGAACCCTTAGCCAAACAAGCTTTTTCATCAAGTCAATGTCATATCTAACTCGGAGCAGTTTTAATTCCGAATTTATTTCATAGAAAATTCGAAACACCTGCAAAACGAAATC